GAGCGACGCGACGCTCCGAAGTTTAAATTTTGCGTTTTGTGAATAGTGTAGCGCCATGGCCCTGCCACGACAACTTTTTAGAAAAATAGGGTTGTGCAGCCGTCGAGATGGAGGAGTTTTGGGAGAGGTTTTTTTTGGTAGTTTGCCTTTTTGGCGAATTTGGAGGGTAAGGAGACCATTTGAGAGCTTAGAAAAGTGATTTTCAAGGCTCGGGATCATGGGGGTCGCTTCGGAAACGGACGATTGACACGCGGAACATAGTTTCTTCTCTTTTCCCTTGGTTTTTCTAGTTTTGTTATGGACTTCTCATTGTGATTTTATTATTTTCCATTGAAATGAGAAATTAAACCTCTTATCTTAGGGATTGATGTAGCCATTGAACTTCATACTTTAGTTTTCTAGATTGAATGTTTATGAATGTTCTACTTATGTTTCTCTATGCTTAATGCCTTGAATCTACTGGTCATAGATTGATTGATTTTAGACTTGAAATCTTATGCTGGAGAGAGGTGGTTTATAGTTAAAACTGATATGCATAACTAGGGTTTTAAGGTCGGGAGATTTAGAAGTTCTTTAGAGGTCGTTAAAAGACTTGTTCAATAAAGCCTTTACTTGTTATTAAAACTAGATAAGGATATTGGTTTCATAATTGCTATGGAGAATTAGCTTGCGCTCGGGGGAGGCAGTTGAGATTTGAGAGTTCTTGGCTTATAGAATTAATAATTCATTCAATTTTGACTAATTAAGTAGTTGGTTCATAGATTCAATAGGTGAAATCAATTCCCTAAAACTTTTCTCCCAATTGTTTTTATCTTTGTTATTGCATGTTTATTTCCTTTGATTACATTCTCCAATTTGATTTTGATTATCTAAATAAAATTGAGCGTTTGTATCTGTGGTACTTGAGTGACATAGAAACCCAATCCAGAGGACGATATCGGTATTTGACTTACCACTTTATTAAAGCTTGACCCGTACACTTACGATAAGCAATTTCTGCTGCATCCACCCACATATTATACTTAAAAAAAGAGACCAGATATGTTTATAAATTACATGGATTAAATCGTTACATAATAAAAGTCGATACTTTATTTGTGCTGGATTTTTCACGACAATACTAAATTATTACAATCAATATATATAATAAAGTTTAGACACTGAAATAGTTACGAATTTAAAAATATAGGGGCAATCCCCATCTCTGCCCCGTTGGGAACCCGTCCCCATTAGAAAAATATTTTTTTTTAATTTTTAATTTTTATAATTAATTTTTGTTATTACTTGTATAACAAGGGAATAAAAAGTGGCTAAATGAAATATTAGCTTGAGTTTTTTTTTAATAAAAAGTAGTTATAAAATTAATATATATTAATATTATTATATACAAAATTAGAAAAAGTAATAAAATATTAAACGGGGTGGGGACGGGGCGGGGAATCCTCCCCCGTCCCCGATTAAACGGGGGATTCCCTGACCCAATCGAGTCGGGTACCCGTGGAGATCGGATCCCATTGATTTTTTTGTCATCCCTAATGGTAAGCACTCGGGTCGGGTATCTGCGGGGATCGAATCCCAGAGTTTTTTTGTCATCCCTAATGGTAAGCACTTGTCATCTCTTCAAGGGACGACCATAAGACGTGTCGCTTTCTTGGTGCCACGTCTGATTTTTTTACGACCATCTCTTGAAAAAAATATTATTATATATTAAATATCATTCAGTGGTTTTAAATATAACATTGTTGTTGGTAGCAGTAGATGAGATGCTAACTCTTCATTCTTGCTTTCACGAGTTCGAGATGGGATTAAATGTTGTTTCTTTTTTCTTTTATATATTATTAATGGTTTAAAAAAGAAAAAATTGCATGAATTCCAACTTGAACCCATATGGATATGATACAAGGGTGCACCACCTACCCCACTAAAATTTATCTTGCTATAAAATTTACTGCATAATATTTAATACAACATAATATTTTATTTTCTTTCTAATACAATCTAATATTTTATTTTCTTTCTAAAAATTAACATCCAGTTAGTCGTCTCTTCAAGAAGCGACCACAAATGTATGTCAATAGATAGTCATCTCTTCAACAGACGACCATCTATTAATTTAAAAAAAAAAATCAGATGTGGCACTAATAAGGTGTCACAAAGCGCCACGTCTTATGATCATTTCTTAACGACCAAGTGCTGACAATGACATGGTCGTCTCTTGAAGAAACACATCTGTGGCAGAATAATTTTAAAAGTATTATTTTTTGAATAAGTTTGAAAAAACACATTTTTTATTTAATTTTATTTAAACCAGCATTATTTTCAAAATAAGTTTTTAATAAAACATTATTAAAAAAAAAAAAAAGCCGTTGAGGCGAGGGATCCAATTGCAAATTAGAAATTAGTAAAAAGGCAAGTTTTGTTCTTAAAAGTTAAAACAAATCGTAATTCCCTTTTTAACATTTTTTAAATTTTATTGAATATCGATTGTAATTTTTGTCATCACCTTAAAGAGGAAGTACCATATTTTTATTAAATTGCACTTTGATTATTTATTAAAATATTCCTTCTTTTAACGTATATCATTTTTCAAAATAAACAAAATATTAGCCCGGAATACTTTAGTTTTTTTTTTCAATTTAGTTACTTATATTTTAATGTATATTTTTTAATTATTATACCTCTTCTGTACATGAAAGTTAAAATTGGATAATAATATAAACTTACAATTGACATGATACTTAATATTTAGTAAGGTTGGTAGAGAAATTTAGAGAATAAAAACTAACCCGAGCTTAGTTCAACGGTAATTGACATATATTTCTAAATGTCATGAGTTTAAATCTTCCACTCTTACTTATTGTACTAAAAAAACTTAGAAAATGAAAGTGGAAAAGTTCTAAATTTAAGTAAATTTTGAAAACTAGAAAAGGTAGTTTTTTAAAATTTGTTTTTGTTTTTCTATTTTGACTAAGAGTTTAAATGTATTTTTAAGGAATGCAAAAACTATGCCAAATAAAGGGTAAAAATTGTCATAATTTAAAAAAATTGAAAACCAAAACCGGATCGAAATGATGGAGACTAAATTGAAAAAGCACCTAAATATCGTGGACTAAAACATATATTTACCTATTGTAATATCATGAGAAACACCCTTACTTTTAAAAAATATTACCAAAATATGTTGCTTTTTTTTTGTTAACTTACCGTTTTAGTCCACAAACTTTTACATTTGTGTCTAACAGATCCCTCTAACAGATCCCTACAATTAAAAGACTATCCAAATAAGTTCCTAAAATTTTAATTTTGTGTCTAACAGATCCATGAATTTTAAAAGTATTTGATAAATCTAAATTAAATTTTGTGTCTATTAGAATCCTAGACTTTCAATTTTGTGTCTAATAGGTCTATAAATTTTAGAAATTGTCGAAGAGGTCAAAGACTATTAGGCACGAATTTGAAATGGTAAGAATCTATTAGACAACTTTTAAAGTGTGAGAACTTATTAGACATAAAATTAATAGTTTTAAATATTTTTAAAGTTTAGAAACTTATTAATCACAAACTTAACATTTTAAATGACAACTTTTTGTTATTGTTCTTTTTTGTTATGTACCTTTGGAATTAATTCCTATATATTTCTTGACACCAAATGTTGTAAAATCAGGTGGTTGTACTGTAAGATTAATCGAGGTACTTATAAACCGGCCCGAATGCTCGAAAGGGATGATTTTGTTTTGTTAGATAGAAGGTGACATATGCAATAATTAAGAAGGGGGCAAGAAAGGCTGAAAAAGTAATTGGGGGTTGGAGTTGCAGCTTGGTCAAATTTAGAGCATATGGTAATGCATGGCTTTGTGACATTGTTCATTTGATTCTCTCTTTAAAATGTCAAAAACATTAAAATTTCAACCTTTCATTTTAACTTCAACCCCTCTCTACTTTATGTTATATGTAACCAACATTTACTATTTTTTTTTGTTATGTCTCTGACATGACATGTCAATTTTTTCTCTGTAAACTTACTAGTAGGGTGTGTTCGGGAGGTTGGTTTTCTCTCATTTTTCGATGTTGAATGTTCTGATGAATACTTGTACAACGGTGTGGTGTTAAGTTCAACACACTTTGATGCCTACGTTAGATAATTAAAGAATAGCAAAACGTAGGTCGTGTAGAATGTACCTTGAGTTTCAGGGCTCTCCTTGTGTTGGCTCAAATGGGCCGACTCGGGTTGGGTGGTCTAGCCCAATAAATTTGATCCACCCACGTCGTTTGTCCTTGCATTTAGGTGACACCCATGACATAAATTATATATTTTTTCTATATTATTCTTGGTAGAAATTATATATTTACAAGTGTGGATGTCAAATCACATGGGACGAAAATCTCCTATCACATTGTGAATTGCAAATGAGAAAAGTCTGGTTGTTTGAACATTCAACTAATACAAAATTAAACCATTGTGTTATTTGTTGAATTGACTATAACGATAAAAGATACCACAAGGATATAGCGACAAAAATGACTATTTCAGTCCTTATTTACACAATTTTAACATAAATTTTATACATAACATAAATCTTTTAATATAAAATTTTAGTTACATTACAAGAAATATATTGAGTATAGTGTCATGTTAAAATTTTGATAGAAAAAAATGAGATTAAAAATACAATTAAGGGGTCAAAATGGTCACGTTTTAAAAGCACAAGAACCAAAACGAACATTTTGAAAATACATAAACTAAAATAAACCAAAGTCGGGAGTACAAACCAAAATAAACTAAAGCTGAAAATATAGAAATCCGACCTATATATATATATATATTTTTTTTTTGAAAAAATTATGACCCAAAGGGAATGGAACATAAACTCATGTTTTACAAGTAGAGGCCCAATGGAATTCATCTCACAAATATTTGAGGCCATTAGGCTATGGCTATGGGGATGGGCTTCCCTTCTGAAAATCCAAGATCCAAGATCCAAGATCCAAACCAATTTTCTGTTTCAAGTTTACCAGTGATTTGGGGATTTTGGGGAGGTTTTAGGGTTCCAGTGAGCGAATTCACAGTCGGAAATGGCAGCTTCAGCTTCAGTTGCACTAAGATCCTCGTGTCTGCGAGCAATTTGTAGAATATCCACCAGTTCCGCCGCCCGAAATGTCTCCGTTTCATCGGTCCTTCCCTCGCTCCGCTCAAGTTTCGTTCCTCGGAGGACTTCAATTTCCCCTACTCACTCTCTAAGGTTGCTGCCTGATTTCGAGTTACTACCTACTTTCGTCCCTCTGTATTTCATTCTGATGTGATGTGATGTGATCGTTTAGGTTGTTGCGACGAGAATTGAGCTCCCTTCGACCTGTTCACAGCGCAATTGCCTCCGCTTGCCTTGTTTCTGAGCTGCCCGCCGAAGCCAGCGCCTCCGTAGAAGGTCAGTGTTCGTATGTTTCTTGCTTCCTCATCAGTGCTGTTGTTTTTTGAATTGGCTTCATTCGCATCAAATTTGAGTAGTACTCGACCATCTTAATTGTAGAAATAGTTCCTTAGAATATATGCAGGTGCAGCCAAATAGTTCCTTATGACCTATTCTAACAGAACTCCATAGCTATTTACTACTGTTCAGTTAGCTGAAACGTTGAATTTAATTTTTGGGATTGAAATCAAGATATGGGAACAGTGCAAGAGATGAATTGTTCAATTGTGAGTTCTATAAGGGGAAGTTAGGAGCTGTCAGGATTAGACCGAATTGTCTACAATCTGATCATGATTATATTCAGCAACCTGGATGTGAGGGAATTATGCCCTGAGAAATGTTTATCATGTATTGAATCTGTAATAAACTAGAGGAAAGTGGTTCAAGAATAAAATTGGTGGGTGTTCTTTGGGGAGTACGATGGTCAATTGTCATGAGATCTTAAGGTTACTTGTGTTGTATGACCTTTAGAATAACTCTTGAAGTTAGTCCAAATGAATTACTTTGTGTGAGTTCACTAAGAAGGATCCACAGAATAGATGTTTATCTTCCCGGCCTGATGGAAACTCATGATTCTTCATCTCCTTCAAAGCTTCCCGAATTCCACCTGCGTGATGACTGATGGGCACTGAACACAAATCTTTTCTTGACTCTTGAGACTAACTCTGTCAGACACAAAAAGAATGCTATTTTACTTATTTATATAAAGTGATGGGAGAATGTTGGACACATCATCTAATTATGATAAGCCAACTTAAACATAAGTCTGTTGCAAGGAGAAATGAAACCAAAAATAAACTATCCCCATAAAATTAAATACGGAAGAGGGAACTAGAAGAATCTCAAAATTTAAATTATTCTGTACTCCTTCCAAATTGTACCTGTCAACTACCACAAAAGGGTTACAATTCCCAAACGCCTTAGATAAATGAAGCCTAACGAAATGCACAAAGTAATTTCTGTTGCTTCAACCAACGTTCTTTTTTGCTCTGTCTTAGAAGTGTCTACTTCCATTCAAACTTCTTAAAAAATAGCTATCATTCTTTTCGTTATTTGTGGCAACTGAACTTGAAAGGAGACTATTTCCAAACAGCACCCAATTTGGATGAGAGAGGCCTGATAAATGCTGTATCTGAGAAAATTTATATCATCAGAACCAAGCTAAATGAAATACACGAGAAATGATCACAATTAAGGTTGGAAGCAAGAGTGTCTTATTTGAGTATGATAGTTCATGTTCATCTTCTCATGAGTAGAAACCTAGAAAATGGGCTAACTTCATTAGGATTGAGTTTTGATCACCAGATTTCAGGCAAGAATGTACAAGCTTAAAACTAATTTGAAACAATGACACTCGTATATGTTTTAATATTAGATTCAGGGGTCTCATATCTGAAAGTGTTACCGCTGCCCCAACTCATACCACACTCTGTTATTGCTCTTTTATTTCAGAGCACCGTATGTTTTCCATTGCCATATAGCATTGCTTAAATTCGAGGCATGGGCCTATTATAAGATGTGGTAATCAATCCGTATGATAAAAGTGGATTAGAATCTCGGAATAAGATTAGGCCAGACTAACAAATTTCAAAAGAGGTGAACAGATGGACAAAATAGTGAAGGATATTATGCTTTTCTTCCTGTGATACATGAATCTTGCAACTACTATCTGGTAGTGTGACCTTGACCATGGTTCCTAGCTACATAATCAGTTGTTAATTTAATTTTTTGGGTACATGTCTAGTGAGACAGATAAAAATAGGCCAATGTTATGAACCATGACCATGCTTTGACCCCTTTTCTCGGACTTGATAACAGGTAGATTTGTGAACTATCTCAGCCCCATCTAGCACCAAACGCTTATAGAGATGCAGGGTTTTCTTCTTGTGTATTAGATTTCCAGATTCACTTCATAACGTCTTCTGCTGTTGATTATGAAGACATGGTTTCTTTGGTTCCTTGAATTGATTGTACTCATATAAGTATATTTATGTTACATTAAGCAGCCAATTTTGCTAGTCTTGTTTTTATCAAGCCCCAGGTGATGACACCCCCAATTGGCCAAACTCCAACCAGGTTAGTGATACAACTATTTTCTGATCTTGCTGATGGCTTAATGTCAAGATTAGATCGTAAACATATTCAAATTAGATATCGGTGCTCGTCGGACGAACATAGGGATGAGAATTACCTGCATTTTTTTTGTTGTGTTGTGGTAAGAAATTAGGGCTGGAGAGATACTTATGAATCTAAAAGTTTTCGTATTTCTTAGTTGTGTTACGTTACATTCGAAAAAATTTTTGAAATCCTTTTTTATTTCTTAAAAACCACTGCTTCTTGATTTCGGGTTGAATTCAGTAGAAATATATGTAATCTGACGAATACAGTAAATTATTTTGTAAATTTAAACTTAAGGAAAGTGAAATTTTTTTTAGTGTTTTAATTAAACATAGTTGGAGATTTTAAAATTTCAAATAAACAATTATAGCTTATTTTTGATGTTTTATTTTCAAGAATTGGTTTACTAATCTCGAACAAAGACAAGAAGAGAAGAAAAGGCTGCGTTTGAAAGCTTGTTGACGTTCAGCATTTGTTGATTTTCAATTTGAAATTGTTAGTAAGCATTTTTATGACAAAATTTCTAGAGAAATCAAAATGATTTGTTAAGAATTAAGATTCAACCAAGAAAAAAAAAAGAAGAAGTATTTGTTTGAAAATATACAACGTACGGCTTCAAATTGGACTGTTTTACTTTGAGCTTTTCTTTTTAAAATAACAGTTATTATATTTTTCTAACCAATTAGTAATCCAAGTCAATTTCGAAAACGGAAAAATAATGATGAATTGAATCGTTTGTTCAACTATTATTGTTAGTTGGTTTGATTTTTTAAAGTATAAAATAAAAATAGTTTTTTAAAAAATATCTAATTTGGTCTCTTTATATACCATAGAAATTTTTTAATATAAATTTATAATTACATTTCAAGAAATTTAATACTAAAATTATGATTGAAACAAATGAATTAAAAATAAAAATAAATGGATCAAATGAAAATTCAAAAACTAAAATATTTAAAAGTTGAAAGTAGACATGTGTCATACCAAAATAACCAAAACCAAAAGTACATATATATATATGGATCTAAATAATATTTAAATTTAAAATAAATGTCTTTCTTTAATACTAAAATCAATCTCTTTCTAGAGTTAGCAAAGCATTTAAAATTAAAAAAAAATAGTATAATTCAAGTCGGAGCCAAATGTAATATAAAACAGAAGTTCAAACTTATTATATATTTGGAAAAAATGAAAAGTGTAATTTCTCAAATTCAAATATCGTGATTACTAAAAATTGACCACGACTCCATGAAGAAAATTGTATCAAATATACTAAGCAAGTAAAATAAAAAATAAGTATTTATTAGTTATAAATAATAGTAAAACAAAAAAACCTGTATAGTTATTAATACAACTTTAATGTGTGGACCAGATCTGAGTTATGACATTTGGAAGGAAAATGATAACTATTGAGAATTTTAAGTGTCATTCTCATGGGTCAACTTTATTAAATAAAATTAAATTGATTTCACACAGTTCCAAGAACAAACCAAAATTATAAATACTCTGAGTTTATTTCATTTTAAAAAAGAGACCAATTTCATTGACTTTAAATAATCATTTAAAAATTTTGTAAATTTTCTTTTAACATTAAATAGAGAGTCTCTTTGGAAGACTGAAACTTGCACATGGTTTAATTAAGAAGTTAATATCTCTCTCTCTACATAATTTTTTTTAATATGAATATGGATGTTTTTTTTTTAATTTAATTATTATTATTTTGAGTTCAGTGGATGGATTTTTATATTGGCTAGTGAATGTTTTGACTATATGGAAATATGAAAGAAGCTTCTGTTGGGATTTTTTAAAACAACATTTTCAAGTATTTTAATAAGATGATTGGTAAAATCTAATGTTATTTTGCATATTAAAGTCGGAGAAATAAATATTAGTTCACCTATTGATTTCATACCCACATTTTCAGAAATCGAAATATTTTAACGTAGATAAATCTATGTTTTTTATTATAGTGACTAATTCACCCTCTCTTTAAATCAAGTTGAATTTCATTCGGAGGAGTTTTATTAAGATCGAATTAATTTTTATCAAAGAAAGACAAAATTAACTGAGGTAGTGAGTGAAGTGTCATGTTAAAATCACGATTGAAATAAAACCACCTTCTTTGCATTCTCCGATGCCGACTGGGCTGGCTGTCCCGATAGCAGACGGTCCACTACTGGCTTCCGCGTATTTCTCGGAAAAAACCTACTGACTTGGGTTTCTAAAAAGCAACCGACTCTTTCCAGGTCTAGTGCCGAAACAGAGTACAAGGTACTCGCCCTTACTTCCTCTGAACTTTTATGGCTTTCTTACTTGTTACGCGATCGGGAGGTGCCATTTCGCTATCGATTTATCCTGCACTGTGATAATGCTAGCGCTACGCACTTGACGGCCAAAACTGTGGTCCTTTTTTAAAAATTCAGTTAGCAAAATAAATGCTTTCAAAATATAGCGACTAGAATGAATAAAAGTTGAAAGTACGGAAATGAGACGATTTCACCTTAATTATTATTATCATCTTGTGACAATTTTAAAACTTTTAATATTTATGTTTTATTTATAAACAAACATATAGAACTTAAAAAAAAGTTATTTGGAAGTCATCTCTTATGATATGAGTTGGTCATTTTATACCCGAATTGAGAGAATTATAAAACTAGTAAACTAAAATTATGATACTTTATTGTAAGCACATTTTCAAATTTAAAAAATAACGAAATGCAAAAAATAAAAAACTAATCATGACATAATGTAACGTTTAAAAAACTGCCCTAATGAGTTAATTTTGTAAAAATATAAAAGTAATGGCATATTTAGAAGTATATTATATTATACCTTACGTTATAAATTTAAGAATATTGTGTCTATTTAGTTGTCTAAAATGTCTTGATTATAATTCTAAACGTTTGATTATATTATATTTTAATTATCATTTAATCCTTGTCGTTAATATCATCAACAAATTATTAACATGACGTGCTTAGTAATACATATCTATCTATCTATCTATCTGGCACATCGTACCAACTAAATCAAAATTTATCCAAATGAACATGTCACATCATTATTCTGTCGATGATGTTAATAACAATAATTAATGTGAAATTCAAATATACCATTTAAATCTTCAATAATACTCAAAATTTAGAAATTAAGTTATAATTGAGTCTTTTATCATTTAATAAAATATATTTATGGTTTTTGAATTGTAAACAATAATGTATTATAGAATTGGTAATCTGAAATGCTTTCTTTTGTAAAGTTGCTTTTTAAATATATATATATATATATATTTTGATTCACTCACTCAGTTGCAAAGAATTTCTTGGTATTATCCAAGGCACATAGATAGAGAGAGAATAAACTTTTGAGAAATTTTATTCTTTCAATTTTTGTTATTTCCCTCACACTTGGAATTTAAATAAACTAAAATGACTTTTTGGGTACACAGCTTTATTAATCTTTAAATTAAAGTTTGGATATAAAAGGAAAAAGAAATTAGGAATTACTCCATTATAGTTTTCTTTCACCATTCTCTCCTTTGGGTTTAATCACTTTCCTTATGTTTCAAGAAAAATAATTCTAATTATGAGCAATCACATGTTGCATAGTTTAAATTCGCATAAATGATTTTTCTTACATTGTTATATATATGAATTTGGAATAAAGTATTGAAACATTGTTATATATATATATTGCACTTACTATTGTACATTTAAGGCCAAATTTTCAAAACAAAAAAAAAAATAATTTTATCTTAATTCTCTAGCTAAGTAGACTATTTTTAAATCACTTTAATCTAAGGTATATGAAACTACTAGCACAACATATAGCTAGCCTCGACCTACTAGCTAGATGTAAGGGTAGATACTTGGTAGTCTAGTTTTAGTAAGATCACAAAGCGTTGCTAGCTAGTCCAAACACCCGAAATAAATTTGAGAGACTTGGACTTGATACCATACGTGGCAAAACGAAGTCACATTGAATGACGACATTTTTCATAGTGGTCCTTCATACACTATATGGACCTTACTCGAACAAGTTCTCATATGGAGATCATGACACATAACATAATTAACCAAAAACTTATAATTTTATGAAAACCTGATTTTTTAAAAATTATTAGTAAATAATGTCAGTTAATTGGTTAATTTCGTAGGAAGGCAGAAGAAAGAGAGATCTCTACGTTGGAGTGGCGATTCAAACTTACAATTTTTTAGTCGGAAATAGACGTCTTAACCAATTGAGTCATGTTCGATTTAATGTGAGAACTCTAAGTTTGTGGGGTGAGAGGTTATAAATAGGAAATGTGCAGACATTATTATTGTTGTGGGGAGAAATTTGGGAGTTTAAATTTTGGAGGGGCAGAATGGGACATGAACTTGCAAGCTTCCCTTGTCCAATAAACTAGTAATTGAAGTTTGGTGATAATAATGGAACAACATGCCCTAAAGAAATACCAACCCTACTTGCCTTTCTTTCAACAAAGAACATGCCTTTGTTGTACAATCTCTTCCAACTCATTAACTACTCTTTCATCTTTTGAAATGAAATATATATATATATATATATATATATATATATATATGTATTACCTTTTTACCCCTGTACTTGACTCGGTTATAGTCTGTCGTCTTAGTTGTAACTGTAAACTCATCAGTACGCTAGGAAATAAGATACTAACATACTTATTGGATCTTTTATATCTTTATGCCAATGATATATGACTAGTTATTTTTGGAAAATATTGTCGTTTAGATAATTGGCGAAGATCTAAACTTACCATTGCTAAAGGAGTTAATTAACTAATGTACTGATGCTTAGGTTGAATGTGATGTATAAGTAGCTAGATCATATCACATAATAGTAAATTCACTGATTTTGAATTAATTATTATGCAGAGTGAGTTTGAGATG